GGGTTCTACCCGGGTGACTCATGGGTCCACCCGCGGGTGACCCGGGTGGCGTTTTTTTTGACGGGTCCAATCACTATAATAAAGCCCGCTATGCTATTCTGACCTGACCCCCATAAATGCAATTTTTCTTATTGTTCTCTAAATGTATGTTATCGAAGTTGGGTCCTCACGATTTGCATGAGGTCTGACTGTACTTAAGAAGTGCTTTTAATATATATTATCTTTTTAAATAATAATCACAAGTAGCAACATTTACAAGCCCGGATAGCTTTTATTAGCTTAGTAAAAGCAATAGGCAAAAAATTTTTGTATATTTGCTGAATTAGTGAATATTATGAACCTGGATTAAAATATTAATGCCAAATTTGGTAATATGCTAATATATTTTCATCACTACACTACGTATACGTATCGATATCATAATTTTATACGTATATTAATTCTGTAGCTATCACTATCGCTATGACCAGTCTTAAGTCTTTCGTTACACGAATGATGTTTTAACTTTTTTTTTATAATCCTGCAGATTCCATGTGCACTTTATAAACTGCTTTTTATAGATCTAATTGAGGGAGAGAAAATTTTCCCACAAACATTCAACTGAGATTTGTACACATTCGAAATATAAAATACCAAAATGTTAAACTACGTTTTAGATTATATCCCATACATAGTTATAGCTTTGTGTCTTATATATCCTCTCAGAACTATCATTTACGATCAATTTCAAGCTGTTCTCTCAAAAAAAAAGGATATTGATGTAGCTTCCGCTGGAGGATTTATTCCACTTCTTCGTATACTTCACGCGGAACAAGGAGCAACGGTCACATCTAATCTTCCTTTTGAAAATACAATTTCTGTGGTGAATTCCGAAGTAATGAAAGCAACTTTACAAATCGGTGATAGGCCTATTGGATTATTCAAGTTTTTGGTACCACTTATAGGTGAAGATAATTTTCAGATTTTTGATGCCGAAAGAGCTGCGAGATTTAAAAAAGTAAGCGGACCTGCTTTCGGTCAGGAAGGTAATCAATCTATTAAGATAGTATTTTATGTCTTTTATTATTTCTTTATTTATTTATTTATTTATTTTTATTTTTTTTAAAAAAAATATTGTATATAGTTTTGACAACAAAATATGACGATATGCGAAGTATTGGAATTGATTTAATCAAGCGGTGGGAAGAAAGTTTGAATTTGCAAGACAGCGTTATTATCAGGATGCAAGAGGAATGTCTCGAATTTGCTTTACGAGCAACTTCAAAGGCAATCCTAAGGTAATCGAATAACTCAATTGCATAGAAATGTTACTTAAAATAATAACAATACATAATCTCACTATATAAAATCGACTTGAAAATAAAGTACCGACACGCCTCAGGACTTAGACTTTAAAAAATTCAAACAATCGTACGACGCCACGTTGAGTGGCTTGTTTGATAAACAATTTGGTCTCCTTGATGATCTTCGAGAAGAAGAACTCCAGCAATCGCTCAATTCTTTTCTTACTACATTGAGTAAGTTAATTAATGATAGGAAAAATAAAAGTACAGAAGTAGAGAATACTGAGAAGCCCGCGTATGTCAAGGATCTTCTCGATATTTTGTTGACTGAGAATGATCCAGACACTGGATGCCCCTTTAGTGATGAAATGGTATAATCTTTAATATATATATATTTCTTTTTTATGATAAAGACAATGAACAATAATAGACTATTAAAAATAGATAAGAAGTATTATGAGCATATATTTGACAGCTGGATACCATACTACTGGTGTCGCAATTCCTTTTACTTTATTCGCTTTAACACAAAATCCAGAAGCTAAAGCAAGGCTTCAAGAGGAAATTGATGAAGTATTACAAGATCGTTTACCAACACTCGAAGGTATGAATTACCATAATAAATTTTATATCTCTAGCAAAGATAAATTGATTAAACATTCATAATTTATTATTTAACAAAAGACTTATCCAAGATGGATTGTTTAACACAAGTGATAAAAGAAGCTCTTCGAGTTCATCCGCCAGGTACTTTTTGTGCCCGTTTAATCAAAACAGGTTCTGTACTTTCCAAAGCAGTGGAAAATTTCCAAGTGCAGACGGACAACACCACGATCCTATATTGTATCCCATTGTATCACGAGAATCCATCATATTTTGCTAACCCCCAAAAATTTGACCCATCTCGATTTTCACGAGAAAATATAAAGAATATTAAACCGAACACTTATTGTCCATTTGGATTTGGAGCTCGAATGTGTAATTAAACATTGTATTAATTTGTTCTTACCTTGTATAGTGTTTCGCAGATCCAGTATATTTAAACACGGATTCGAATCCATACTTGGACTAGTGTTACAAATCGCCGAAATTTTTCCAATAGATTAGTTGAGGATTATTTCTTTAGTTGACAAACAAGTTGCAACTAATCGATTAATTGTTAAGTTGCAATTAAGCGATTAATTGTAAGTTATAATTAATCGATTATTCGATTAGTGCAACTAACTAATTAAAGAGTTAATTAATTTTTTAATCGATTAGTAATTAATTCTTTAATCGATTAGTCAAAACTAATCGATTAGTCGATTAATTGATTAATCGATTAGTTGTCAACTAACCAATTAATCGATTTTTCAACTTTCGATTTGTAATACTAACTTGAATTCGATTCCAATTTTCGGATCGGATCCAGATCTTTTAAAAAATATCCGTCCGGTCCGATCCGTGCGGAACACTACTCTTATGAGATGATATTTTGAAACTTATTATTTGTCTTTTTTTATATATATATATATAAAGGTCCAGCAGAGAGACTCGCAATGGTTGATATTAAAATAATGGTCTGTATGATTATGCAAAAATTCGATTTCGAATTAGCTATGAAAGTGGAAGATGTGCAAATGGAAGAAAGGTTTGTCGTCATGGCTAAAAATGATATTTTGATAAAACTTAAACCAAGAAGTGGTATAAATGCCTAGAAGAAAGATATGATTAGTGCTATTAGTATTATAAATCCGACAAAACCGAATTCATTTATTCATATAGCGTAAGTTTCGTTGATGTAAATCTATAAATAGTTATTCATTATATTTTCCTTCAAATGATTGATGGATGTTATATACGCATTAAACATGTACAAAAACTTATTCTTTAGCCTTAGCATTAGCGAGATAATAGTGTACATGAAATTTACAATCGTTACTAGTTATCATACATTATATAAAGAAGATGCATGAAGTAACTGATTTTTAATCACCTCATGACGTAAATCGAAATTCTACCATCCTTTCGTAACAGAATCTGAATTTTGAACAGCTCCTAATGGATCATCCTTCCAAAATACAAAATGTCCTTGCAACTGGGCAGTACTAATTCCTTTTCCCCTGACTTTCTCCACGAATTTTTCGGCCAATTCAGTTTTATTCTCATAAAATCTCAAAAACATCGTACGTATCTGATAGTCACTTGCCACATCCAAATGTTCTTTAAAATCAACTCTACCCGGACGTATCAGCGCCGGTTGAAGTCGATCCACGTAATTTGTTGTCATGAATATTATGCGTTCTTCGGAGGCCGCAACGCCGTCTAGTGCGTTTAGCAAGCCACTTAATGTCACCGATGAACCATAACTAATTAAGATACAAATTTTCAATCTTAATACTATACACCATATTTAGAGGCATGCCATTGATTGCTTAATATTTTTTAAATACTATCCATATATGCAAAGTTGGCAACTTTTTTATCCACTGAGAAAAAAAGGCAAACGAAGTCCGAATGGATCTCAATGATAAGTATCCATCGATCCGTCGATTCCATTGAGGTTCTCCATTGAATCAATTGCCAATTCTGCATGTATGGTAATAATCTATCCGATCTAAATTATTATTTGTCAGTCTAATTGGTTGTGAACCATGATAAGCAGTAAATGGCATTACCCTTGACGGTTATTATAATAAGAACTTTACCCCTGTGCTTCACGCTTTTGCGTAAAAGTAGCATCAATATCTTCCAATAACATTATGCTACGTTCTGGAGCATTACTTAGCAGATGATTTAATCGATCATCGGTTAAACCAATCTCACTTAAATTTAAAATGCATATGTTATATTCTAATTCACCAGCGAGTGCCTGTATAAAACTACTTTTACCACTTCCCGGAGGACCATATAACAAATATCCTCTGCGATATGGTATTCCTTGTTTAAGTTTTCAAAAGCGTTAAGAATCTTTTTGGTAATGAAAATCGCGAGTAAATTTTTTTGTAATTACCTCGCTCATTATACCAATTACCATCCTTTCGTAACAGAATCTGAATTTTGAACAGCTCCTAATGGATCATCCTTCCAAAATACAAAATGTCCTTG